TGATATACCAGAGGTAAACAAGTATGACGCATGGTGCAGCCATTGCCTTTCGCAACCTTATTAGAATCACGACGTACCGCAACTGAGAGGCACCTTATTGTTTATGACTGACATTTTGGAGCAATGTAAACAACTGCATGCATATCACACCTGTATATTTATATAATTACTAGCTGTCGCCCGCGACTCCGTCCGCGCGGAATTAAAAATAGATGTTGGCCGATTCTCAGACCTACTCAATATGCTGACAAAATTTCATGAGAATCGGTCAAACCGTTTCGGAGGAGTATGGGAACGAATATTGTGACACAAGAGTTTTATATATAAGATTGTTGCTGAAAATACGCGGGAAATATTTTTTTACCCAATTGAATAACCGTAGGTTTCTAAGACTTAAAACATATTGTTATCTCTGTTTTGTCAAAGTTAATGACAGGGATGACGATGTGTTTTAAATAGAGATTTTGATTTTAGAAACCAGCTGTATGATAACTAATGTTTTTATGCATGTAAAAATCAATTGTGACCTTCTATAGCTTAAACAATTAAATCTTTTTGACGAGGGAGTTGTAAGTGTATTCATATCCCTTCCTGTATGTCATAGGGATAGTCCGTCAAGGTTTTTTTGAACTTCTCATTTTTATCCACGTTTTGAAATCAATAAATGGACATCTTAATATTCATTAATGCGAATGTTTGGATGGATGGATGTTTGTTTGAAGGTATCTCCAAAACGGCTGAATGGATCTTGATGAAATTTGGTATACATATAGAACATAGCCTGGAAGATAACATAGGCTACTATGTTTTTTTTAATATCGCGTGGACGGAGTCGCGAACGACAGCTATTTAGCAAATAAATTTAATGATTACATTGCATTGTTTGTACAACTCAATAAATTAAGTCGAACAATTTCTTTCGCTGAACTTCGTAAACAATACATACGTCAGAGTTCCAATCAGAGGATGCACTGTTTATTGTATTGATAACAGCAAAAGCTTGATAATGTAAACATTGTACGATGAATTCAGGATGTAAATATTAGTATGTATGTATTATTAGTTCCATGACTTCTTACACCCTTATTGTTTAAAATTTATTTAATATAACATTTTATTTTAGGTCACTTTATTTATCTTTTTATTTTAAAATTAGCTGTCACCCGTGACTCCGTCTGGGTGGAATTAAAACAAAGTAGTCTATGTGTTCTTCCAGACTATGTTCTACATCTATGCCAAATTTCAGTTAGATCCATGAAGCCATTCTGGAGATATCTTTAACCAAACATCCATCCATCAATTTAAACATTTGCATTTATAATATTAGTGAGATAATTTGACGAAAATACAGCTATATTTTATAATACGTCAAATGATTGTCTTCATTTACAGATTCAGCAGTTCGCCTTCATTTGCATAATGTCAGAACTAATAAAACTTTTCCAACTCATTGGAAAATCTCTAAATAAAGTTTTAATAAAATGGATCTGGAGCCATCTTAAGCTAAAACATTTTCCTTTTCAATCATTGAAGTAATTGATTAAAAAGATTACTTTAAACTTTTATTTATTTAAATTAAATATATTTAAAAGTTAGATGTTGAAATGTTTTCGTTAAAAATCACAAACCTTTTTTTTATGAAAGTTAACGGCAAAATACTGGTCAGTTATAGAGTTGCGAAAACTTTCCCCCGTTTTCATAGATTATGATGTGTTTATAAACAGTTTTTAGTACTTACTTAAGATTACAACTCTATTAATCTGTGCATTCTTGCAGCCATAAAATAGAAAATTGTACTTCCCAATTACGCAGTTCGGAAAAACAACAAACTTTTTGCGTCGTAAAATAATGCGACGCAGAAACGTAATCTCCGCACTATTTCGGTCTGTTTTGTATTGTTTAAACACTCATGTGGTTTGTGAACAAACTTTTGTAAACAAAATCGTAAAATTGACACGTTATCTTGAACGTAAAATAATTCTGTATAAGACGAAATAACATGACATAAAATAAACAAATGAAAAAAACTTGTTGATATTTTTATACCTGTGCAGCCTTTATCCCATATTCATTTACTGTGGGTTTCTGAGGCGAAAAGCTTCATTTAAAACAGTCTTTCCTAAAGTGGGCGATAACGCCCCCTTGTGGGCGCTGCAGGTCTCAAGTTGCTTGTTATAGTAAAAGTTTCGTTTAGAATTCTCCATTAATATACATATATAGGTCACAATAATAAATTAATTTAATTTGAAGTTATAGTTGTTTGTCAGTAGACAAAATAGGTTTGGGGTTAGGTAACATATTGTTATCTTTGTGTTGTCAAAGATGAAAGACAGAGATGACGATATGTTTTATACAGAGGTTTTGATATCAGAAATCCACGGTAAGTGACTCTGGCACAACTAGTATTGAAAACAGAGATTCTACGTACATGTGTAACTATAAATCAATATGTTTGTATGTTTGTGTCATTTTTAATTACTCAATTGAATGTGATTAATTTGTAACGTGATATTGTAGATAAGTGGCTAACTGGGGCACACGCTATTTACAATTAACACGCGGTGACGCAAGTTCAACGCTGGAGTAAAAGTTTATTTATAAACACTGGCCGCACGTGTCATGGCTTTTCCTTTGTCACACAATTTTTACGTGTCAATATAGATTTACAAATGTTTAACTATGGGTTACCACTGCTAAAACGTAGGTACTTTTAGACATTCGTCGATTTAGGGTAGGCAACGCATATGCAATTGCGTGTGTCTATGGGCAACTGTCACTTCGCTATTTCAGCGATTTCAGGTGGATGCACGCTCGTTTGCCACCTTATGATATATAAAAAGGGAGTACCTATATATTTTATATAGGGTTTTAGCAATTAATACTTACGATCACAAACGAATAAACGATTCAAAATTTACCCATTTTATTTACTACCAGCTCTCGTCCGCGGCACCGATCGCACGGAATTAAAAAACTGAATAAATAGCCTATGTGTTCTTCAGGCTACGTTCTATATCTATGCCAAATTTTATCGAAATCCACGTAGTTAATGTTCTAGCGATTTATTTTATATTTTACTTTTAGCTCTTAAGTTTCTCCATCCGAAACACAAGTTTGGTATAGAATCAAATATTGTTTAAAATCGAAAAAATATATTTGTTTCACCTGATATCTTACTGTTACACTCATATTTTTTTTTAATATTTCACAAAACTTCCTTCCCTAAACCCACATCGGCCTCAAAGCGAGTATTTGCATTCATTACCGAAAAGTTTTCGACTTGGCGCACAAAAAAGCCGACTTTGTTTACTTTTAATCTGCCAACAAGTCTGACATAAACAATTTTTTTTTTAAATTCACCAAGTCTGACGTACCGTAATTTGTCATTCTCATTTTTAAAGCTACATTTTTGCCGTACAATGCTTTTTTGACACTGACAAGAGGGTTCTTCGTGATTGTATGTGTGATTAGCTATCGCTCGCGACTCTGTCCATTATAAATTAAAAAAAGCTTAATTAGTAGCCTATATGTTCATCTAGGCTATGTTCTAGATCTATGCCAAATCCATACAACCATTCTGGACATACATCCAAAGAAACATCAATCCAAACATTCGCATTTATTATATATTTATAATATTAGTAGGAGTAAGATATGTAATACTAGCTGTCGCCCGCGACTCCGTCCGTGCGGGATTTAAAATAAATTTTGGACGATTCTCGGACCTACTCAAAATGCTCACAAAATTTCATGAGAATCGGTCAAGACGTTTCGGAGGAGTATGGAACCGAAAATTGTGACACGACAATTTTATATATAAGATGTTTTGCTGTTTCATTGTGCTGGCCCGGGGCTTTGTTATTTTGTTCGTCTAGATAATTGAAAGATATAAATTGTTTACGTAAAAACTAATAAGAATAATTAGCACTAATTTACTAATACATACTTCGAGGTATTAGCAATGATTCACACTTAAAAATAATTACTGTATATAAGTATAGTTAAGAAGAATCTTTATACTAAATAAACGGTGAGTCACGAACTAGCGTGGAGGTTGTCAGTGTAAATATTTACTGCACTATAAAATCATCGTAGATTATAATGAAAATGACCCAAGGATGGGCTGTTAGGCTTAAACAAACGTTGGGCACCTCACTTACGTTACCGGCTACAATAAGCCCTCAAGTGTTTACTCTCTGCGTTCTACTTTTAACAACTTTACTCTCTACGATCTAATGTTTTAAATTACAGTTGCATTTACTATTCGTGTTAATTACACGCTTGGATGAAAAAAATGTTTATTTTAGACAAAATTAAAAGTAAAACCAACTTATTCTGCAACATTGTCCATTATGAGCTTTACTATAAGAAATTTTGTCAATAAGTCACATACAGCTTGACGTATGTTAACCTTTTTATACCGTGACTATGAGGCATGGCGCGGATTTTCGACAAATCATGGCTATTAAAAACATCGTTATATGAAGGCTTGTGATACGAAATTTTGGCCAAAAAATAATAAAATACTAATACCGAAAATAGTGTGATGTTATGGTGGTGAGAAACTTTGCCGTGTACAAAATTCATCGGCCTTGAAAGGGTTAAATCATGTGTTTTATTAGTGTCTAGCTATACTTGTCGGGGTGCGTGAAGGTTAAATGTAAAAAGTTTATTTAACTTCTCTATGATGAAAGAAAACACTATAATTCAAATCGCCCTTATTTGCGATATGAACTTGTAAGTCATAGATGTATATTAAGGGCAAAACTCAGCATTGGGCTAGCGTAGTTAACTAAAACCTAGTCACCCTTAATTTAACTTGGTTACCTCGGTGGGATTGTATTTGACCTGACGACGACATTAAATGTCTTTTGTTATCTGCTTAAGGACATCCTACTAAGATGGCATAAGGAATTAAATCACATAAAAAATAATGAGTATAAAAGTTGTAAGTAAACAAGAATCAACTCTAAGTTAAATGAGAATAGAGTAAAAAGTACCTTGTAGCTAATGTTATGGTTATCATCTATTGCCAAGTCATCCGGACAGTTTTCGCAGTTATCTGAAACAAAAGATTGGTAATTAACCGATAGTCATCATTGCGTGAAAATTCGTGATCGTTTTAAAATGTTTTTGATCTGGTTTGTTTTGCTCGCGACCTCTTCATAATAACAATGTTGTGTTTTTAACCGGCTTCATTCTTAAATTATTCAAACTTTTGTGAGACATTATACTAAACTGTCTTCATTCTTACTAACAAGAAATATATTTTACGCGATTGTATGAATATTTTTGTATGTATTTTGTGTATATGTATGTTCCTTATGATTTGTTATTGCTTGTTTATGTGTAGTTTTGGCCTTTCGAAAGATTGAATAGTTGACGTATCTTTGAGACGTCGTTGTATTTACGATAAAAATATTATTTGGTTTCTTTTATCACTGTCATAATTTTGTAAAGCTGCAAAGTCATATTAATATGACATTAATGTAAAAATGTTCAATAAACAGACAATACGTATGATACATTGAAGATTTACGTTGCTTTGAGTAGTTGGGTTGTATACAAAGAGTTACGTCCTTCTTATACAAATCGATTTAATTTTCAAAACTTATCGATTTTAGATGCTTATAAGTCGCATCGACGATTCAACATTGTTTCTACAGAGCGCGCGCAACGTGAATATCTCGACGCTACCTTACAATATTAATTTCGATGACTTACGTTGCCTTGTGTACTAATGGCCTGAGAATGTATAGACAACTTAACAAGGAATAAATAAAAAATAACATTAAAGGTTATTACACTTACCGTGGGTTTCTGATTCTATTATCCCGGTTTAAAACATATTTTTATCTCTGTTTTATCAAAGATAATGACAGGGATGACGATATGTTTTATCCGATGATTTTGGTCTCAGAAACCAACGGTAATAGTACTTATATTCTATAACTATTTTATTATTATCGAACTGTCAATCAATGCGTACTGAGTTGGATTCGTTGTATCATTTTGTTCGCATTATTTTTTTTTATTTACCAAATGGCGATGAGAAAAAACAACTTCGTGATTCAAGATCTGTGCGGATAGACTTTTAAATGCCGATTGTTCACCTATTTCATACTTTGATTTTATTTTCTGTCATATCTTATAAAAGAAACATTAACAGATAAGATTATAAAGCGGAGACATTGATATTTTTGTATGTCTGATTCAAAGACAACACATAAAGTATTCGACTAATTTGAAAATAATATTTTACATTACAATGCTATCATATTCCCGAGTTAAACGAGTTCAAATCTTACATCATCATCAGCGCACTATACGTCCCCACCGAGGGGCTCGGAGTCTACCTAAGGGTGATTAGGCCGTAGTCAACCACGCTGGCCAAGTGCGGATTGGTTGACTTCACACATATAAAGATATGTACTAATACATATACACATATAATGATATATACTAATTCAAAGGAATTACATCTCAGATATGTGCAGGTTGCATCACGACGTTTTTCTTCACCGTAAGAACGTTGGATAAATGTACATATATAAATCGGAAATCGAAAAAACACATTGGTACATGGCGGGATTCGAACCCAGGACCTGCAGATTGCAAGTCAAGTGCTTGACCACTGAGCCACCGACGCTCCGTCGTTCAAATCTTACGAATATTATAAATGCGAATGTCTAGATGGATGTTTGTTACAAGGTATCTATAGAATGGCTGAACGGATTTCGCTAAAATTTGGCTTAAGTATATAACATAGCCTGAAAGATCACATCGGCTAATTATGTTTTTTTTTATCCCACGCGGTCGGATTCGCGGTCGACTCCTAGTAAGGAATATTTATTATTGTTAAAGATTAAATTCAGACGTACAAAGCCGGGCCGGACAGCTAGTTACAAAGAATAATATAGCTATGATGATGGTATATGAAGATGAAATACATAAGTATAAGTATTAAGTATCAAAATCAGAAGACAGACGTGAAGTGGAAGCAATTTCGCCTTTCGTCTGATGAGTGTGTGTCTCGGAAGCCTAATTTTGGTCCTCTTTTCCTTCCCACCCTTTTTCTTATAAGGAAAAGATGAGAAGTAGAAGTAGACTTTCCTGATGAGAGGATGCATGGGAAGGGAAAATATTTTCTTTCTGTGCATCCTCTCTTCCGTCGATTAAAAGTAGGCAAACGCATATGCACTTGCGTATGTCTATGTTCAATGCTCGCTTCGCTATTTCAGCTATTTCAGGTGGCCGCTCGCTCGTTTGCCACCTTATGATATAAAAAAAAATCGAGATCTAAAAAGCATATCTGGCAAAATATTTAATGAATCACAATAGCTAACCGTAGCAATTAAAAAAAAACATTTATTTAATCTGTACACTTTATTACGTTTAATAATCCCGCCTGTTGATTTCGAGGTCGAATGCTTAACCACGTCAAAAATATTTTTTCATTTTTAAAAAACCGCGCTAACGTTAAGAGTAGCAAACATACGGTGTTTTAAAAATATTAACTTTATACACAAGTGAGTGAACAGTCGCCACTGCGGAAAAAAGTGCCAATTTTACAAAAATAAAATATACCAGCTATTCGCGACTTCGTACGCGTAGAATTAAAAAAAATAACTATTTTTAGGGTTCCGCACCTTGAAAGGAAAAAAACGGAACCCTTATAGGATCACTTTGTTGTCGGTCCGTCTGTCTCTCAAGATCCTTCTTCTCAAAAACGCGAAACGCGTGAAGGTTTTATATATTATATTATACATAAGTATACAGTCTGTAAGTGAGAGTAAGTAGACATAACAAATTTTACGGAGTCAAAGCACTACCACTGCGTGTTTTTCATCGATAAGAACCGCGTTAGTAAAATAACACTATTTTTTTAATCAATATTATAAGCGTTTTTTGCTTGAAAAAGTTAAACTTAATTTTTTTTTACCATAGCACAATATCTCACCCATTCAAGTTCAAATACAAAGATATTTTAATATCCTTGTCAGTCTAAATCGTATCATAGTCTATGCTCAGCTTTTACATTTTTTTATTCCGAAAGTAATTACGACGGCAGCTCCTATCTCATCGAGCCAGATTGATTGTAGCACTGGCCACATAATTGTCATCCATTAGCTTTATAAAAAAAAGTGTGCAAATGTCTCGGCAGTCAAAACTCAGCTAGGGAAAACTCTGCTCTTTAAGATATTCGATAGATGTTTTTACGACACTTTGACATTGTTTTCGATGTCATTGTATATTCATTACGGTGAAGGAAAAGTGTGCGAATGTGACATTGTTTTGAGTTTGACATTCGGTTTGTTATTCGCGAATTCTTTATCAACTGCGCAGTTAAATAGATCGTGCTTGTCATATAATGACTGACCGTTTAAATCTTATCAAGATTTAAAACTGATTATAAATAGATAAGAAATTATTTTACTTCCTGTATTTGCGGACATTATTTTGTCAAAACAATTTTTTTGTGTTTAAACTACAAGGATTATAAGAAATATTATTTGTTTATAATAAACAGTAAAAAAATAAGGCTTATAATTTTTTTTGTATAATTTTAATTCTTATTTTCTTTTCTTTCATCTTATAGTTGTAGTCGCCAGCAACATTTATTACATGAATGAGGTCGGCTTGCCCGGTATATTACCAAAATCATACAAAAGACAGGCGTGCAGTTGAAGCAATTCTGCGTTTAGTGAACCTTGCAACCTTAAGTCAAACTTAATTTTGACGGCTTACTGCTTAGCTGTCAGTGTCGAAATAATACAAGATCCTATTCGTATGGTATCTGTCATAGCATTTTTTATTTTCATGCCCATTTAGATTTTACATATTCTCCTACAGAACTAACCGCTATATATTGTCTCTGGCTCTCCACCGGCTCTGATATCCACGTCGGCTTGAACTGAAGGCGAAACTTGAAACAATATTAAATCTGTATATCTTTTAAACATAAATGGAATCAATGTCTGTCTAAAGCATTCTTCGTGTAACTGTTTATAAGATACTGGCAACTTAGAAATGTAAGTGACAGTTAATAGTACAAGATGGACAATAAAGGTGAATAAAATGAGTGATATTAATAAAAAAAAATGTGTCCGTTGGACGTTTCTGACATCTTAGTATTTTAATAAAAAGTGGTTTTGGTCACTTACATTTCTATGTTGCCAGTATCTTATAAACACTAACTCAAACAATAACATGTTTTTGTACGTATGTTTCAGTAGTGGAAACTCATAGTATATAAGAATCTTAACAACAACTCAGGTGGAGTTTACTTGAAGTGTTCTGTTTGTAAACACATCCATCATAATTGCAGGTACAATTACGTTCTTTACATTATCTTAATGCTAGTATTGTTTACAAATATTCTCGTTTTCGTGAGACGTTTTAAAAAATATGTTGTTTGTGTTTTTTATCAGTTGATTGAAATATTTATGAAGTCTAAGGTTAAAGCGAGTCAAATGTTACAACCGGACAAATTTTACAATATCATTGTAACCACGGTCATTGTCAGGCAATGGCATGGACAACTGTTTTACATTTTTTTACATATATCTCCGGTACTAAACAGAAAAGAAGTAAATAATTTTTGTGTGGATTAAAACTCGTATATAATATATAATAGCAACAAAGATTTTTCAATATAAAATCAAATTTCGCAACACGAAAAAATTTTTTTTGCAAACGATACAAAAAAGGTTTTATGAGGAGTACATGTTATTTTGTAGACGGTACACCGTCCGTAAAACACTGTTAAATAAGATCAACGGTTATTAAAAACAAACTGGCAACATGAAAAACTCTTTCAAATTAATTGTTTTCACTCGTACGTGTAAAATTCGTTAGCGCATCTCCATTCGTTCCACTGTTCACTGACACCGAAACATGAAGTGCAATTAATTCGCATTGTAACGCGAGAATAAAGTTTGATTTCTTTTTTAATTTATCTAACAGCAGTTTAATGTTTGGAGTGAAAACAAAATAACACCCGCTATAAGCTTGACTTTCTATTGACTTTCCACGACCGAAGCACAAAAAAATTATCTTTGT